AAAAACCTAAGCTTTTAAGAATTTTTCTCAAATCGATTATAATTGGTGTCTATAATTTATGGGTAAAAACTTATTTATAACTTTTCTCGAGAAAATCTAGATGATTACTAACTCTCGAAGAAATTAATAAAATAATATCGTATATAAAATTTTATCTAATTTTAAGATAATTACATAATAAAATATTTATTCTATCTCATCTAAATACAAAGAAATTAATTAAATAATCTTAGGAATATAATTTACATTAAAATAATAATAAGATAAGACTTTATGATTAAATTATATAATAAAATAATAACTTAGGATATCCCTAATGTTAAAATATTGTATAATTAAACATTGGAGAGACTTAAAATTTAAATAAATTAAATAATAATAATTAAATAATAAAAGATACTTGCCATGTGAATGTGCTGAATTTAGGATTAAAAATCACGTGGAGTATGTGGTGAAAAGAAGTCCAAAAAGCTTGCCACCTCTTCCCTTCCCTCCCACATGTCACACTTTACCCGTGCGCGCTAAGGAAGCCCGCAAGCGTGCACGCGACCCTCATGCCCTACCACTATGCTGTCCGCCCAGCTCTCTCGTCGACTGGGCCCATAGTTGTTATTGAGCCGGTTGTTGTAGTCAACTTGCTGGGCAGTGCGATCGACCCGACACCTTCTTCTCTGAGTGCAGACTTGTTGGAACATGCAGGTACTTTTAAAACGGCTTGCCTCGATAACGAGTGATGCACACTTATCAGAATCACTTTTTATAACACATGGACAAAATAACACTTAAAGCATAATATCACTTTCATAATCAATTGCACTTTATATATGAAAATGTGTCTAAAATAGTGGAAAACACTTGAAAACTACATAGACTATGTAATCATAACATCCACTTACCTCAAGTTCGATGCAATCAATTTAAGCTTTCTCTATTCTGACAAATTCTCCCTCTATATTTTTCTCAATTTTCTCTAGTCACTCTGTTGGAGTCTTCCCTTAAAAATACTTCAATTTTGTCTTTTCAGTCGAGTTGAGTCTCTTCTTATATTTTTCTCAATTTCCTACCGAAATTTCAGCAACATCTCTCCTTAGAATTATCATCATTTAACACTAAAAAATATTCTAATTATAGGTAAATTAATTTTCATGAAAAGAAACTTGAAACTACATACCTCGCAAAACACGCTACTTTAACTCCAACAGAGTCCTATTTTAATTTCTAAGATTTTTTTCTCAAAAATCCAGCAGAGTTCCAGGATGCTTTTAAGTAATATCTAACATAAAAAATATTGCTCACATAACTCAAAAATCATTCTCAAAATTTTAAGACAAACAGAATTCAAATGAAAGAGATAACTTACCTTAAGCTTACGGGTTCTCCCATGATTGGCCGTGAGCTTTCACTTTCCTTTCCTCTTCTTTCTTTGGTTTTCTCCTTTCTTTCTTCCTTCCTCCCTCTTCTTCTCACAATTTAGGCAGATTTTCTTCAAGGAAAAATTTGCAAATTCCTTTAATTTCCCTCACATTTCTTGGGTATGCACCATTTTCCTCTCTTTTTCTTTTCTTATCTCTCTCTCTCTCTCTTTTTTTCTTATCTCTTTCTCTCTCTCTCTCTCTTATCTCTCCAGCTTTGCTCTCCATCACTCAAGAATGCATTTTTCATCTCCTCACACCCCTATATATAGGGAGGGACGTCTATGTAAGTTGATAAGCACATGAGAGGTGGCAAAACGTGATTTGCCATTTAAACCACTTCAAGCTTCATCCGTATCCTTATCTTTTCCTTTCCTTAGCTTTTAAGTAATTTTAAAGTATTATAATCTTATCCAGACTCCCTCCACATCTTATCCACTTTTCAGGAGCTTCTATACCAAATTTAGGCTCTATTCTATATGTTTTGGCTTTACTCATAAGGCCAAAATTGCACTCCATGCACATGTCTTCACTTCAAATAGCCATAGTTCTTTGATTCTTATGTGTTTCCAGCCAATTTTACCTTCACTTGTTCTTTGTGGTTTCAGCTGCTTGCTAAACAAATTTGGGCTCAAAACAACCACATTTGGCCCATTTAAGGTCCACTTAAGGCCCAAAAAGTCCAAACTCTACACAAAGCTAGGCCCATGCCTATGCCCTTATTTCAAAACTCCATAACTTGCTCAATTCTTAATCTTTTTAGGCAAACTTATGCTTCATATGTTCTTCAAGCAGACAACTATCACATGGTTTTGGTTTGGGCTTCGTTTGAGTCCATTTAGCCCACTTATGGCCCAAACAAGCCCAAAAGGAAAAATTGTCCTTCATGTGCATGTCTCTCGAGTTTGACCTCATTTCTTCCTATTTTTCTTCTATGGATATTTTTTTATTTTCTTCACACTTATGTCTTAATATCTTGGCTAGTACTTAGCCAAATTTGAGTCCTAAATTCTAAGTATTTTAGTCTCAGGACACAAATCAAGATAAAAGGATCAAATTAGAGCTTCTCGAGGGATTTCTTCCCTCACATGGGAGATTGCTCTCTTGATTGTCAATATAATTACTCTCTCATATTCCTAAAGCGTCTTCTTACCTTCTACAATGTTGTTCTAGTCCCAAAAGGCATTCCTAGGTTTAGAGAACTCAGCTTCCTCCTTGAGAGAGTTCTATTTTTGAGGGGTTCCTTTTATCCTAATTTCATCATTTTCGCTCTGTTTGACATGAAATTTAGTTTTATTTCATCTCTTTGCATATATATACATGCTTAAATAGCCACATGAAGTATGAGAAATTCGTCTAGAAAAAATCTAAATCATTACACTTAAGGTATAACTCTTTAGGGGTTAGAGCTTAAGGCTTAAGACTTAGGGATTATTGCTTTAGATGAGCTTAATGCTTAGGGCTTAGATCTTACTTAGTGTTTAAGGTTTCAGGTTCAAGGCTTAGGGCTTAGCACTTTAGGCTTAGAGCTTAGCACTTTGATCTTAGGGCTTAAGATTTTGGGTTCAGGGCTTAGGGCTTAAGGCAACATACATACAGTTGAGAATAAAAAAGAAGATGTGTTATAATATTTGCTTTTTTCTCTTCATCTGATCTTATCAGTTAATCATCCAATTATTTTTTTTTTTGCAGCTACATGGAAAACTGTAGATTTCATGAACAAGTTCTATCTATGAATTCTAATGTCAGGTATTCTTTTATGCATTTGCTTACTAAAAAAAAGACATATCTTTAGTGGCTATTGGTTAAGGACTTCTTTGATATGGTTTTCTTGGTTGTGGGCCACCTTATATGTCTTGCTAATGGTCATTATTTGGTTAACTCTATCTATAAAATTATTCGTGTAAAAATATTTTAACATATTCTTTTACTATTTGTCATTGGTGATTCAGTTAAATATTTGTTGTATGATAAAACTAAATATGATATTTTTTTTTCTAATACAATTGATTAAGTTGCATGTAAAAAATTATTACATTTTTATTTAATGATTTTGCAGTGGCCATTTTACATGTCATCACTCCTTGAAGGTTCTGAGGCTCAAGCCCTGCACCATTTATGAACAAGTTCCTGATGCCTAAAAAATTTCTAGAGATATTCAAATCATTAATATTTTATTGCTTATTTCACGTTAATTTAGATTACAGATGATGATTATTGGTTTTTAAAAATATGTCTGAACTTTTCTCTAGCATATCATTGAAACAACTCTTTAGGTATAACTTTTTATGGTTTAGTGTTTTGAGCTTAAGATTTAGGGTAACATATCTAAAGTTTGAGAAAAGAAAAAAAATCAGGTGTTATATTATTTTTTTTTTCTCTTTATCTAATTTTCTCAGTTAATCATCCAATTATTTTGTTCTGCAGGTATGCCGTGTAAGCAACTTTCTGTCAATTTTATGGATAATTTTTATCTATGAATCCTAATGTCAGATATTCTTTTATACATTTGTTTACTATAAAAAGGACCTTTTTAGTGGTTTTTGGTGAAAGACTTTCTTGATTTGATTCATTTGGTTGTAGGGCATCTTGTATGTCTTGCCAATGATTTTTATTTGGTTAATGTTATCTATAAAATGATCAAGATTTAAATATTTTAACCTATTCTCTTGTTATTTATATTATCCTCTCTTATTTTAAAATTTTTGCAATTTATTTTTTTTTGTAAGTACACGTGCGTAAATTATATGTTTAGTGCTAAAAAATTGAATATACATTTCTTTTCCTCATGATTTCTTTTTTAATTGTTGGAGATTAAATTAAATATTTGTTGTATGATGAAGCGCCAATATAATTTTTCTTTTTTCTTTTTTTAACATAATTTATTAAGTTGCATTATAAGAATTATTACAATTTTTTTTAATGTTTTTGTATGAGTCGTTTTACATGCAATTACTTTTTGAAGGTTTTAAAACTCAAGTCTTGCTCCCTTTCTAAAAGGTTAGTGATGCCTAAAAAATTTCTAGAGATATTCAAATCAATAACATTTTATAGCTTCTTTTTCATTACTATGAATTGCATGTGATGATTATGAGTTTTTGGAAAAATGTCTCTACTTAGCTTTGGTAGAACATCGAAACAACTCTTTAGATATAACTCTTTATGACTTAAGGCTTAAAGTTTAGGGTTTAGAGTTTTAAGATTTAGGACTTAGTGCTTAAGGTTTAGAGCTTAGGGCTTAAGGCTTATGGCTTATTAGGGTTTATTGTTTATTAGGTCTTATTTAAATTAGGTTTTTTTTAGGGCTTTGGGTTTAGAGTTTAGGACTTACTTGGGTTTAGGGTTTATTAGGGCTTGTTAGGGGTTAATGCTTAAGGCTTTGGATTTAGGGTTTAAGGTTTAGAGCTTAATGCTCAGGGCTTATTAACTTCGCGGCCTGCATCCCTCTTCTTCTAGGGCGTGTTCGAAGCACACTTACACTTTTCATTTAATTAAATAATAAAAATTAATTTTCATTAATATACAAAGTACACAAAAATATTACATCCCTTGAATAATATACATCAGCGACAATACAATTTTTTTTTCTTACAATACAAAAGTATAAATTGGTAATATGAATTCTAACTTCTCAGTTTCTCTTTTGTATCACATACTATTTTGCAGTGAAATCTTCTTTATCTAAAAATGATGGGGGAGTGAGATATACTATCTTATTAAGCATATATTATAACAACACAACTAATACATGCAATATATATACCTTTCACACACAACAAAACATATATATAAATATATGATATACTTTTATCGAAAACATGTTCACTATATATGAAAACAGATTCACGGTTGAAAACTAAAATTAGAATCACGATTCAGAAAACACATTGTTGCATCATACAATGCGATATACTTTTACATGTATAAAATCACTCAGTAGGTACAGTGCACCACATTGTACAATGAGCCACAGGTTCCATAATAAGAAAACATATGCACTTCACTATATTGTACAATGAGCTCCACTACATCACTGTTATGAAGGGTCATTCACATCTTTCTACTGCCATGCATGCATAGGCGCACACTTGACACTTAACAATTCCCCATACACCCAAAAATGGAACAGTTATGTATGGGTTCACACTTGTCACTTTTTCACTACACCTAAAAATAGAACAATTATGTAGGGGTACATTGAAGTCTAACGTCATGCAGGTGCTTTCATAATGGCTCGCATCGATAATGAGTGATACAAACTTATCAAAATCACTTTTCAAAACACATAGGCAAAATAACACTCAAAACATAATAGCACTTTCACAAAACACTTTCACTTTATATATGAAAATATGTATAAAACACTAATGAAATATTTAAAAACTACTTAGGTCATGTAATCACAATATCCACTTACCTCAGGTCCGATACAATCAACATAAACTCTCTTTCTATTTTATAAGACTCTCTTCCTATATTTTTCTCAATTTTCTCTAGTCACTTCGACAGTCTTTCTTTAAAAATACTTCAATTTTATCTTTTCACTCAAGCAAAGTCTCCCCTTATATTTTTCTTAATTTTCTACCAAAATTTTGGCACTATCTTTCCTTAGAATTTTCATTATTTTATATAAAAAAATATCCTTATGATAAGTAAATTGATTTCCTTGAAAAGAAACTTGAAACTGCATACTTTATAGGTCATGTTGTTTTAATTATGGCACACTCTCAACTTAATTTCTAAATTTTTTCTTTCAAAAAATCAACAAAGTTTCGAGGTCTTTTTGCATAATATCTAACCTCAGAAATACTACTCATATCACTTAAAAATCATCCTCAAAGTTTCAATAAAAAAACTCACCTTAAACCCGCGGGGTTCTCCCTTAGTTGGCTGTAAACTTTCGCTCTTCTTTTCTCTTCTTTCTTTGTTTTTCTCATTTCCTTCTTCCTTCCTCTCTCTTTCTCTCAAAATTTAGGTAGAGTTTGTTCAAGGAAAAACACCCAAATTTCATCAATTTCCCTCACTTTTATTAGGTTTCTTCTCTTTTCGTCTCTTTTTTCCTCTTCTTTTCCTCTCTTTTCGTCTCTTTTTTCCTCTTCTTTTCCTCTCTTTTCTTTCTCTCTCTAACCTTACTTTCTCTTAACTCTTGAATACTTTTCCCTTCTTCCCACACCCCTATTTATAGGGGGGGACGTCAATGCAAATTAATAAGCATGGGAGAGGTGGCAAAATATGATTAGCCACTTAAACCTCCTCAAACTTCATCCTTATCCTTATCTCTTACTTTCCTTAGCCTTTACGTAATTTTAGAGTATTATAATCTTATCTAGATTCTTCACATGTCGTATTCATTTTTTAGGAGCTTCCATACCAAATTTGGGCTCCATTCGATATGTTTTGGGCCGTCTTAGGCCCACCTAAAACCATAAGGCCCAAAACTGCACTCCATGCACATGCCTTCACATCAAACCATCATAACTTCCCTGACTCTTATGAGTTTTCTACTCATTTCACCTTCACTTCTTCATCGTAGTTTTAGTTATTAACTATATTTAGGCTCAAAACGACTAAATTAGTGCCTGCCATTTCTTTTTGTGAACACTTCACACAATAATACACACACACACGTTCAACTGAGAAAGTAGTAAATGGTCACTTTTCATATTTGCACGTTTCCTTGTTGTTGGAAGTACAGTTGTGCACAGTTCGCTGTAGGTCTGACTTCACGAAGTGAGACTAGGATGAGACTTATAAGAGGTGATAAATTTCTGATGTTATGATATCAAATTGTAACAGGGTCAGTTCTTTCCTCTCTGTACCCCTTTCTTTGTGCACATTTCACCATTTGATTATACACTATTTCATCTTCTCACGAATATTTTCCATGTTCTGCAGGTTTATTTTGTTTAATATTTTTACCCTTGCAATTCTTTGAAAATGAAATCGAAAGACATGATGGCTGAATTTCAGGTTGGTCAAGAAATATTACTTTAGTGATTATGGTCAGGATTAACAGTGTCAAATTTACATTCAGAAGGATTTTGCAGATTTTGAGAGAAACCTTTCTTCAAGAATACCGGAAAGTTGTTGAGAGGCGTGTTTTTGCCGGTTTGAACCCCGATTCTGCTTTCTATCAATGACCAGTATTGGCAATCTAAAGCCTTGACTTTTTTTCATTATTTTGGACTAGGCTTCAGTCAGTTTTGCAGTAAAAGGATAAAGAATAATTTCATTGGGAGGAACAAAGAGGATTAAACTAATTAACTTAAAATATGCACATATATTTGATTTAATATTTGCACAAACAAATCTGCATTCTTTTTGCATGGAATCTACAGGGCGGCTAAATTGTTGCTGGAACTTCTAATTTTTTGAATAAATGCCTTTGTCTTTTCACAGCTCATTCGAGCTAGCATCAATGACATTCCTTGTTCCTTTCTTTTCTTGTATTCTTTATAAACTAAATATTATTTGCACTTTTATAATTTTGATAGTCATAATGAATCTTGCTATCACGTGCTCGATCAAACAACGAATGGAAAAGGATGTTGATGAAGTTGAAAAAATCGACGATTTCATAAATAGGAAAATTGAAGAACTTGACAGGGAGGTAACAAACTTATTGTATGTTTGTAAAGTATGAAACTTCTATTTCCTCACATTGTATTTATGGTACACAGAATTTATCTAATAGGCGGAAGCTTGGGTGTGGAAAAAGGTTTTGACTCCTCCTTTCTTTGATATATTTTGATGTTTTTTTCTTTTCACCTGTTTCTTCGTACTTATTTTTGTCTTGAATTTCATATTGACGATGCTTTTTAGTCACAAATTTATACTGTTAGATACTCAATTTCTATATTAGTTTTGCTGTATCAAAACATAATCAATTTGTAAGTTATTGCAAAACAAAGAAGTGGTAGCATCCGTCACAAACCATTTGTTTGTAGACTAACCTAATGTTATCACTGGTGTCTATATGGAAGTTTTCCTGCTGGAAATGAACTGCCACTCCCAGTTTTGTAGCACAAGAAGTTCATGCTTTGGCTTCATATTCCAAAGTCTTGATGCATTGTGTTAATTTCACATTAAAGTTTGGATATTTTACAGTTTATTTCTCTTTTTGTTTGAGGAGTGGTGTAAATGATAAGAAATGTTAAAGACAGAATTCTATTTTTCTCTTTCCTAATGTTTGGTCAGCAAAAGATGAAAGGAAAAGTAGTTATTCTCTTTTGAAGTTTATGAATGAAACACAGGTGCACATATTAGGACTCTAATTTTGTTATATTTTCTGGAGGTGTAGAATCTAATAAATTAGGCCATGCCTTTTGTTTTTGTCAACACTTCACAAAATAATACACAGACATGTTCAACCGAAAAAGCAGTAAATGGTCAGTTTGCATAATTGCACGTTTCCTTGTTGTTGGAAGTACAATTGTGCACAGTTTGCTGTAGGTCTGACTTCCGGAAGTAGGACTAGGATGGGACTTATAAGAGGTGATAAACTCTTATGTTATTATATCAAAATGTGACAGTGGCAGTTCTTTACTCTCTGTATCCCTTTCTTTGTGCACATTTCACCATTTGATTATACATCATTTCACCTTTTCACAAATATTTTCCATGTCTTACAGGCTGATTTTGTTTAATATTTTTACTCTTGCAATTCTTTGAAAAAGAAATTGAAAGACAAGATGGCTGAATTTCAGGTTCGTCAAGAAATAACTACTTTAATAATTATGGTCGGGATTAACAGTGTCAAATTTACGGTCTGAAGGATTTTGAAGACATTGAGAGAACCGTTCGTCAAGAGTAGCGAGAAGTTGTTGAGAGGCATGTTTTTGCAGGTTTGAACCCCGATCCTACTTTCTGTCAATGACCAATATTGGCAATCTAAAGCTCTCAATTTTTTTTCTTTATTTTGGACTAAGCTTCAATTAGTCTTCTAGTAAAAGGATAAAGGATAATTTCATTGGGAGGAACAAAGAGGATTAAACTAATTAACTTAAAATATGCACATATATTTGATTTAATATTTGCACAAACAAATCTGCATTTTTTTGCATGGAATCTATAGGGAGGCTAAATTATTGTTGGAACTTATAATTTTTTGAATAAGTGCCTTTGTCTTTTCACAGCTCATTTGAGCTAGCGTCAATGACATTCCTTGTTCCTTTCTTTTCTTGTATTCTTTATAAACTAAATATTATTTGCACTTTTATAATTCTGATAGTCATAATGAATCTTGCTATCATGTGCTGCAATCAAACAATGAACGGAAAGGATGTTGATGAAGTTGGAAAAATGTCCAGTATATTTCATAAATAGGAAAATTGAAGAACTTGACAGGGAGGTAACAACATTATTATACGTTTGTAAACTATGACACTTCTATTTCTTCATATGGTATTTATGGTATACAACATTTATCTAATAGGCAGAAGCCTGGGTGTGGAAAAAGATCTGGAGTGGACGGATCAAGAATAGCAACAACTCTTTAATGGATCCTCCTGTTCTACTCCTTTCTTTGATATATTTTAATGTTTTTTTCTTTTCACCTGTTTCTCTGCACTTATTTTTGTCTTGAATTACATATTGACAATGCTTTTTGGTGACAATTTTATACTGTTAGATACTCAGTTTCTATATGAGGTTTGCTGTACCAAAACATAATCAATTTGTAAGTTATTGCAAAACAAAATAGTTGTAGCGTCCATCACAAACCATTTGCTTTAGACTAAACCTAATGTTATCACTGGTGTCTATATGGAAGTTTTCCTGCAGGAAATGAACTGCCACTCTCAGTTCTGTAGTACAGTAAGTTCTTTCTTTGGCTTCATATTCCAAAGTTTTGTTGCATTTTGTTAATTTTGCATTAAAATTTGGATGTTTTACAGTTTATTTATCTTTTTATTTGAGGAGTGGTGTAAATGATAAGAAATGTTAAACACAAAATTCTATTTTTCTTTTTCCTAATGTTGGTTCAGCAAAAGATGAAACGGAAAGTAGTTATTCTCTTTTGAAGTTTATGAATGAAACACAGGGGCGCATATTTGGATTCTAATATTGTTATATTTTTTAAAGATGTAGAATCTAATAAATTAGGCCCTGCCCTTTGTTTTTGTCAACACTTCACAGAATAATACACACACACACACACGTTCAACTGAGAAAGTAGTAAATGGTCACTTTGTATAATTGCATGTTTCCTTGTTTTGAAGTACAGTTGTGCACAGTTCGCTGTAGGTCTGACTTCATGAAGTGGGAGTTGGATGGGACTTATAAGAGGTGATAAATTCTGATCTTAGCATGTCAAAATGTAACAGTGGCAGTTCTTTGCTCTCTGTACCCCTTCTTTGTGCACATTTCACCATTTGATTATACATTATTTCACTTTCTCACAAATATTTCCCATGTTCTACAGGCTGATTTTTTTTAATATTTTTACTCTTGCAATTCTTTGAAAAAGAAATTGAAAGACGGGATGGCTGAATTTCAGGTTGGTCAAGAAATAACTACTTTAATGATTATGGTCAGGATTAACAGTGTCAATTTTACAGTCTGAAGGATTTTGCAGACTTCGAGGGAAACCGTTTGCAAGGAATACCAGGAAGTTTTTAAGAGGCGTGTTTTTGCAGGTTTGAACCCCGATCCTGCTTTCTGTCAATGACCAGTATTGGCAATCTAAAGCTCTCGATTTTTTTCCATTAATTTGGAATCTTGATGTGTATTTTGCCTTTGTTATCTCTAGTAATGGGAGCACGAGCTGATGAAGTGGTACATTTTTTCATGATTTAGTCTTCAATAAATTTTATCCATGCAAGTCCGTTTCTAAGATTTCCTTAATGCACAGACAATTCACAGATTGATTGAGACTGGAGATAGTGAACAAATATTTCAGAAAGCAATTCAGCTGCAAGGGTGAGACCAGGTTTTCCTCTTTGTGTTCCTCTTTTTGAAGAATCTTTTGAACCATTAAGGAGAATACAATTGTAATGTGGCCAGTTCTGAGAATTCGTAGAATTTCCTTTAGATTCAATTACTATTATTTGTTGATGTTAGATGGTCAAAAATTACTATTTGTGCTTTGCTCATAGATATGGACACTCTTGCTGAAATTCAAGAGTGTAATGATGCTGTTAGAAATTTAGAAAAGAAACTCCTCGAGTTACAGTAGGTACTTGGTTTATTGGTGATGGAAGGTGATCCAACCAAAAGTAGAAATTAGCTTTTCGTGGTTAATTTGTACAATTTTTAGGCATTTAAACTTCTTAGTTTTAACTGTTACACATTTAAATTTGCTCCCTGATTTGGATTGTTGGATCCTGAAAGCGAGAAAGGAGTGATTGATGGGTTTCTTTAGGTCTTCATATCTTATTCTTTTTTGAGCATGAACTTTTGTTGGCAGGTTAGACTTGCATATGACATTTAACATAGGTCATGTATTATTTCAAAAAAAATTTAACATAGGTTATGTGGAAAAAGAGCATTAGTTTTTGTACATTTGTGTTTCTGTTGAATACATATGTAATGCTGTGATAGTACATTTGGGGTTAGAAACATGAATCTTTTGGTGTTTATTGCTTTCTCGGTGTTCAATGTTAGCATTTCCAAAAACTCATTCTTCAGTTTTGATTTATGCTTTCCAGTGTGGTTTACGGTTTAATACTTAAGATTTAAGGTTTAGAGTTTAGGACTTAGGGTAACAAACCTATAGTTTGAGAAAAGAAAAATAAAAGTTATAATGTTTGTTTTTTTCCCTTCATTCAATCTTCTCAGTTAATCATCTTATTATTTTGTTCTGTAGTTATTCTATGTAAGTTATTACTTAACTGTCATACAATGTATCATGCATCAACATTTATCACAAACATTTAATCATTT